GGAAAGGGAAGTTTCAACAAATGCCATGGCAGGAGCCACAAAGGACTTGCAGGGTGTGTGTCTCATGAGGCTGAGTGTGAGTCTGCTGAATCTCTGTGGGCCACAGCAGACCCTTGTTGCTGGCTGAGAGAGCCACCTTTTCTGCAGGGCTGAGCAAACCCCAGAGCTACCCTGTTCTAGCTGGGCTGTATACATGGAAAGGACACCACAATATCTGCTGTCCAGGTCACCAAAGACCTCCAGAGGACAAACAGGGTGAATGCTGCCACCTGGGTTCACCTCTTTGAGGAGCTGACCCAGCAGTGTGGGGAAGGGGGTGCCCTGGGTGAACTGGGGAAGGAGGAGCTGCCCTCACCTGGCACAAAGCCTGGAGGGCTCAGAACACCCTACCACTCCACTCCTTGGAACCTTAAGGATCTCCACTCTCGTGACAGGTTCCAGCCGTCTGGAATTCTGGCAACTGGGGACTATGATGCTGATATACTACCAGAGGAGAACCCTGTGTCTCTTTTCTCACAGGCTCTTTAGGAGGTGCAGGGGGAAGGGCGGTGGGAGAAAAACAACAGCAGCCCAGGCAGCCGCCCCCACTGCACCAGCTCCATGCTGGGTGCTTCCAGACGGACACCCAGCTCCTTCCAGAATTTATTTCCCACAGTTTCTTATTTAACCAGCCAAACAGCACAGCACAGTACCCTGCACCAATAGAGAGCTATTCATTTGCATAACAATTTGTCTATGACCCTCCCCCCAGCTGCCAGCTCTGGAGGACCGACTGGCGGCTTGCACCCACGCCCACATCCTTGGTGCCTACTAGTGCCTGGCATTTAGGCGGAACAAAGGTTTGCTGTTGCCAGGATTACCTCACGATGGCACTCTAAGGTAGAGACTGCTAATCATCTGCGGATGAAGACACCGAGGTCCACAACTAAGACAAAAGCAGCCTGAGATAGCTACTGACTTTAGATCTAAGCTCACCAATCACACTCTTCCGTTCATCCAGTCAATCAGCTGGACACAGAGTGATCCATGTCCCCAGAAAGAAGCAAGGGACCCTGCAACATCCTGACACCTAGAGGACAGAGAGTCTGGGGAGCAGTGCCAACCCTGTGAAATGTCAACCCATGAGCTCCCCAAACGAATGCCCTTTCCAGGAAGGGATGGTTTCTCGGCTGGAGATTAGGGACAGGAGGCTGCTGTGAAGATAGTCCAGACATGAGCCGGAGACTCCAGCGGGCAGAGGTACAGGTGAGGACTGGGGATAGGAGTCTACAGAGACCAAGTCTGCAGGTCATTATGCTGGGAACACAGGACGAGGGAGGAATGCACATCCCCACTGGGCTGCTGGTATCTCTCTTGATAAAGAAACAATGAACAAATCCTGAGGTGGAGGCAGGGGTGCAGGGGCATTGGGGCAAGATGAGAACCACACTGCTTGGGTTGTGTTTGTGCAATCAAACTTACTAATGCCCGCACTGCTCAGCACTAGATATGCATCAGCTCTCTTCATCCTCACAGGAGGTGGGGATCCTATCTACAGCCTGCAGGTGTGGCAGCTGAGGCTGGGTGCCAGGCCGTCCACACGGCCGTTCTGTAGATAGGATAGCTCTCCACTCATTAGGTCAAGACCCAACGTTTCAAGCTTCCCGGCTATGTTCTCAGTGGTGCCGCCCACGATGTCTTATGCAAACCTCACCTTCCCTTCTGTGCTATCCCTACCTCCTACAACTCCATGCATCCTTGCACACTGACCACAGATGATCTGGTTGTGTGGCATTGCTTCCACTGGCACCGTGGACCAGAGCTAGAAGCTTCAAGTAGGAACCCTGTATGCATCTCAGGACCTTCATCAAACAAGTGAACAGCAGGCTAGCTGGACCTCCTGTCTCTGTCTCTCCATCTTTCCAAGTGAACCACAGGCTAGTTGGACCTCCTGTCTCTGTATCTCTGCAAGTAGGGACCCTGTATGCATCTCAGGACCTTCATCACAAGTGAACAGCAGGCTAGCTGGACCGCCTGTCTCTGTCTCTCCATCTCTGGGTTTACAAGTGCATGTCACAATACTGCTTTTTTTCTTTTCTTTTCTTTATTTACCTTTGGTTTTTCAAGACAGGATTTCTGTATAACAGCCCTGGCTGTTCTGGAACTCACTCTGTAGACCAGGCTGGCCTCAAACTCACAGAGATTCACCAGCCTCTGCCTCCTGAGTGCTGGGATTAAAGGCATGCCCCACCAGTATTAGGCTACCATATTGTTTTTTATGTGGTTGTTGGGGATAGAACTCAGGTCCTCATGCTTGCAAGGTAAGCATTTTTACTGTTTGAGTCATATCCCCAGCTTTTTGTTCACTTCTGAAGCCAGAATACAGTTACAGTGAGTGGTTTGATGTTAATCCCGAATAGCTGACTCTACAGGGGTCTCCAAACTTCATTTCTGGGGTCAAGAACAGCTAAAACAGCTAGGCTAAACAAAAAAAAAACAGTGAAAGCAGAGACCATCGAGATGGCTCAGTGGTTAAGTGGTGTCAGCTACCAAGGCTGAAAATCTGAGTTTGAACCCCAGGTTCTTCATGATGGAAAGAGAGAGATGGCTCTCCTATGTTGTCTTCTGACCTCCATACGTGTGCTGTGGTACTTCAATAAGTAAATGTTAAAAAGAAGCACACACCTGGTGGTGAAGAGCGACCCTGTGCCTAGTGGGCCCTAGCTGCCCCTGGACTCTGACAGGAAGTGCTCTTCACTGTGAGTCTTAGCAAAGGACCTCTAGTCTCCAACCTTTGTCTCAGTTCATCCTCCCACACTCTCCAGAATCCACAGGGCAAGAGGACACCATTCTCAGTGGAGAGATGGGAAAATCAAGGTCCACGGGAAACAAAGGATTCATGAAAGTATACACAGTGAGCAGCTAGCAGGACTGTGCTAGACCCTGGTTTACCAGCTTGCTGGTTTGGGGCTCTGGTCATAGATGCTTTCTGTCATCTAGGCTCTGGTCTTCTGAGTGTTCCAACTTTACACATTTACATTTTATTTTGTAGAGCACAGGATGGACTTGATGGCAGGCAAGGATCCTATCACTGAGTCACACTCCCTGCCCCTTGCCCTTGCCTTTTCAAATCCTCTGCCCTGCTCAGCCCATGACCCAAGCCTGATGATGGAGTTAGGCTCGCCTGAAACCTGACTACATGCTCGATGGCACACACCTTTAATCCCAGCACTCTGGAGGCAGTGGCAAGTGGATCTTTGTGAGTTCAAGACCAGCCTGGTCTACATAGTGAGTTTGAGGCCAGTCTTATCTACATGCAACTGCCTCAAAATAAACAAACAAATAGAAAGGTAAGGGCCACCACGTCTGCAGTCCCAGGATTTGGGAGGCTGAGGAGGACCTGCTGTGAGTTCAAGATCAACCTGGGCTACACAGTGAGTCAGCCTAGCTACAGAATGAGACCTTGTTTAAAAAAAGAAAAGGCCAAGCTCTCAGACACCCCGGAGGACACACCATTACCTTTACCAGTGAGGGGTGTCCTAAGATTCTATATAGCCTCCTCCAGTATTCCTACAAATTCTATGAGCTAGGGAGCCAGGCAGAGAGGGCAATACACCAGTTGGTGGTAGAAAGCTGGGCTGTGGGGTGGATGGACCTTACTGTCATATACCCCACCACACTGCCACACATGCATGCTACCTTAGCAGTCCTATTCCACAGATGGAAAGACTGAGGCACAAGGCCACCTGTTCACATTCTAACAAGCAGGAAACAGTAGTGTGACATGACTTTCCTGCAGAGCTGTCCTTCGAAAGATTTCTGTCACTGATGGTCAGTACAGATGGCAAAAGAGCACTCAGAACACAAGGCCAAATTACAACGGTCATTTGTCACCTCAGAAAAGTCTGCATTTTCTCCAACATTTTAACGATTACAAGTCAACCCTGCATCACAAGGCAGCCCGTAACACGCTCCCTATGTTTTCTGTTCCCAGTTGACTCCCTTGACGCCCACTCTGCCTCCTCCACTCTAGCCCATGGAGGTTCTCCTTAGGACCTTTGTACCTGCTCCTGAATTCTGTGCCCTAGATAGCTGTAATGGTTTCCTACCTCCCTCATCTCTGCTCAGACTGTAACCCTATTAGATACCTTCTCTGACCATTCCCAGTCTCTGTCCTCCATGATCCTCCCAGCTTTCCCTTTCTCCATAACAGCTATTACTGTTTTACATGTTGCGAGTTCATTTGCTGAATAAGACCAAGTGCATCGACCCTTGCATCTGACAGCCCCCTCTGGGTCTACGCATAGCTTTCTGTGACCCTTTTCAATGCTAGCTCCCATGGTCACTCTAACTCGAAACCTAAAAGAGAAGCATTCTTTCAGAAACATCATTGACTCAGCTTTCCCCAGGCATTAGGTGCCCCCCCCCAATATTCTCTCACAGGGCACAAACAAACACGGGAAATCTGACTCTGGTTAAAGAGCAGCCAAATCAAGTTCTACCCAGAGCTGGGCTGGCCAGACCAGTCAGCTTCACTTTCACCTCACCTTAAGGGAGCCCTTGGTCTTCAGTCAGAGAGCCCACCCGCCCTTTTTCTCCCCTGTTGTACCCTCTCGCATCTTGCCATCCCATTTTGAGAGCTGGTCCAGAAGCCAAGCCATCCCTAAGCTTTTAAGTAGCACGGCTTGCGTTTTGGAAGGAGACCTAAGTTCATCCAACAGGTAGGAGGGGCAGAGGCCGGCCTTGTAAACCCTACATAGATTCCCCCATCTTAAACAAACGAGCGTCGTTCTCCTTGTGGAGAGAGCTCGATTTTCAAGGCAGGTTTCTCAGACCTGGGCGGGAGGCGACGAGAGCCCTCCCACCCCTGGCCGAGGTGGTCCTGCAGGGGGTCGCCGAGGCCCTGCTAAGATCCTGAGGCGGGGGAGGAGGATGCGGGTACGACTGTTGGCTCGGCAGCTCGGACAAACCCTGGGAGGGGGCGGCCCTCAGCGGGGAGACGGGATGCTTCGCAGGCTTACAAGCAGAGGCCGCGGCCCTGGGGAATCCGCTGCCAGAGCCCCGCAGGAGGTCGGATCTGGTCCGGGTCCGGTCGGCGGGGCGGGGCGGGGCAGGGCGGGAATGCAGCGGCCGGAGTCCCGGACGGAGGCCGTTCCCTTGCCCTCGGGCCGCTGAGGGCCGCCGGCTGCTGGCTCTGGGCCCAGCCCCTCCCCCCGGTCCTGCTTCGACCGCTTCGAGAGCCTGTGGCTGCGGGTGTGCTGTCAACAAAGCGTCACTTCCGGGCCGCCCCTTAGCAACAGAGGAGGGGTTCCCCGGTCGTGTCCCGCCGCGAATGTGGGCGGCGGCGGCCGAAGGTTCCGGGCCCTGCGGGCTGCTTCTGCCCGTGCCGAGGCCTGCGTCCCCCAAGTTAGCCCTCACGGTCCCTTCCAGAGAAGGGCTGTCTCGAAGGAGCAGGGTTCAGGACGACACTGACTCCACCTTCCCTCGTCAGCACTGACTCAAGCGGCGTCCAATCCGACGCCTTTTGGGCTGTCTCCGTGCAGCCACCACACTGCCCCTCAAGTCTGCTCCTCCCTCTCCTTCATGACAAGGGCCACTCACCCAGGAGCTGTCAGACAGCAAGCTTGAGGCGTCCCTGGCCCCTGCATTTCCTTCTAGTCACCAAGAATCTCTTAACAGTTACTTCTCTTCCTTCAATAGTGCCCAACTTCTGTACATCATTTTATTTTTCAAAAATGATTATTATTTTTAATAATGTGTATATGTGTTAGTCGGGGTGTATGCACGGGACTGCAGGTGCCTCTGGAAGGGCCAGAAGCCTGGGATCTGTGGAGCTGAAGTTACAGGTGGCCTTAAGTTCTCCAGCGTGCTGGGAACCGAACTATCTCTCCTGCTTATCCTTTTCATTCTTTCTAAGATAATGGTTTTTTTTTAATTTATTTACATTTGTGCACGCGTGTGTGCATATGTAGAGGGTCAGAGAACTGTTTACTAGAGATGGTTCTCTAAGTTCACCATGTGGGTTCCAGGAATCGAACCCTGGTCGTCTAGCTTGGTGCCAAGCACCCTTATCTGCTGAGTCATCTCACCGGCTCCCATCATCAGTTCTCCTAACTTCTGCCATGACCTCCTACCATGACCTCCTACCACAAATCCCCTCATTCCCTCTGCAGTCCCACAATCTAAGAATGGGTTTCCCAAAAACATGAATCTCATCAGGGCATCCAGACTTTCTTGACCTACCCTCTCTCCTTACCCAGTCTCAGTCAATTGCTTCCTTCAGCTCTCCCGTTCAGATAGTTCACAGCTTAAATCAGTTTTTGTTGTTTGTTCTTTACCCTTTGGCTCTTGGGGGGCCTGCCACCCAGCTCCCAAGTAAATCACACACAGAGGCTTATTCTTCGTTATGAACGCCCAGCCTTAGCTTGGTGTGTTTCTAGCCAGCTTTTCTCATCTTACCCCTACTACTTTTGCCTCTGGGTCTTTTCTTTTTCTTAACTTCTGTGTATCTTACTTCCACTCTCACTCTGTGGCTGGTTGGGTGCCTGGCCGCTGGCCCCTAGCCGCCTCCTCTCCTCCTTTTCTTTCTCCTTCTCTCCTCCCAGATTTCTCCTCATATTTATTCTCTCTCCCTGCCAGCCCCACCTATCCTTTCTCCTGCCTCGTTATTGGCTGTTTAGCTCTTTATTAGGCCATCAGGTATTTTAGACACAGCTTCACGGAATTGAAGAAATGCAACATAGCCAGGTGGTGGTGGCACGCACCTTTAATTCCAGCTCTCGGGAGGCAGAGGCAAGCAGAACTCTGAGTTCGAGGCCAGCCTGATCTACAAGAGCTAGTTCCAGGACAAGTTCCAAAGCTATGGAGAAACCCTGTCTCGAAAAAGCAAACAAAAAATGCAACATAAAAAAAATGCAGGGCTGGTGAGATGGCTCAGTGGTTGGGAACACTGACTGCTCCTCCGGAGGACCAGGGTTCAATTCCCAGCACCCACATGGCAGCTCGTAGCTGTCTGTAAATCCAGTTCAAGAGAATCTGACATCATTATACCAATGTGCATGAAATAAAGTTAAAAAAATTTTTAAAAAAATGCAACACATCTTTACATCATTAAATATTCCACAGCATAAACAAATGTAACACCTCTTAAAATAATATTCTACAACAAGTTTTGGCTTTTTCCTCTCTCTCTCTCTCTCTCTCTCTCTCTCTCTCTCTCTCTCTCTCTCTTTCTAGGCTCAAACAATAAGTTGGTGAAATTAACCTTTTTTTTTTTTTTTTTTGAGACAGGATTTCCCTGTGTGTAGTCCCGGCTGTCCTGGAACTCACTCCTTAGACCAGGCTGGCCTTGAACTCAGAGATCCACTTGCTTCTGCCTTCCTAGTGCTGGGATTAAAAGCGTGGGCCACCACCACCTGGCTGAACTTAAATATTTTTCTCACTGCTATCCGTATCTTATGTACAATACTTTTTTCTTGAGGAACTCTGGGGGATGGAGGTGGGGATGAGGGAGGAAGGTGATACTAGGTTTCAAATCCAGGCCCCGAGGAATACAAGCATTCTACCACTAAGCTATAAGCTTTCTTGTCAAAAATATAAAAAGGATGCGTATGCCTGGCAGTGGTGGAGCACACCTTTGATCCTAGAACTTGGGAGGCAGAGACAGGCAGAACTCTGTGAGTTCGAGGCCAGCCTGGTCTGCAGACTGAGTTCCAGGACAGCTGGGGCTACACAGAGAAACCCTGTCTAGGTACCTTAAGCAGGACGGTAAACAACTCTAAATAGTTTCAGGAAGCCCCTGAAACTAACCAGATTCACTAAGCCCCTCCTTGTCAGAGTAAACAATAAAAAGCTGAGAGGTCCTCTCTGAGCTGCAAAGGTTCTCGGAGAAGAAAACAAGACTCAGACCAGACCAGCTATCTGCCTGGAAGAGGTTTGGAACTGAAACACTTGGACACTCGCCTGTTGAGGGCTTGCAGACTACGCAGTGTGCTCCAGGTGCCCAGCTTTGTCAGCTGTCACCCATGCAGGGGTGGGCCTTGGTGATGCAGCTGTCTCTGAGTCATTTCTGTTCCTGTGAGTAACCCCTCACCCATATTCCTTTAACCCCAATAAAACTCAACAGTTCATAAGGTTGGACCATGGTGGTGTCTGCACTTTGGTTTGGCAGGAGTTCCCTATCTTTGTGAGTTTGTGTGGCATACATAACCAGTTCCAATCCAGCCAGGGCTACATAGGGCTATATAGTGAGATTCTGTCTAAATAAACAAATACATTTTATAAAATGAATTGTTATAGGCCAGGCATAGTGCCACATGCCTTTGGTCCCTGCACTCCTAAAGCAGAAGCAGACAGATCTCTGTAGGTGCAAGGCCAGCCTGCTCTACATAACAAGTTCTAGGACTGTCGAGAGAGAGAAAGAGAGAGAGAGAGAGAGAGAGAGAGAAAGCGCGCTAAGTGTCTGCTCAGATGCCAGAGGCTGATGCTGAGTATCTTCATCAATCTATTTTTGGAGACATATCTCTCACTGACCCTGGAAGTTCATCAGTTTGCCACAACTCCAGACTTCTCCATAGGTGCTAGGGATCTTAACCGCAGTCTTCAGTTTGTGCGGCAGGCACTTCTCTCACTGAGCTACCTCTCTAGCCGGCCACACCAAGCATGGTCCTGGAAACCTAACCAGGACAGCAAACCGGGGCGGCAAGGGAATGAAGAAAGGGCAGAAACACATTCAGAAAAGCTAGGATTGTTTTGGCTGTCCTTAGTCTGATGGAGCAGCAGCTGGGAAAAACCCAGAACCTCAGCTCTTTTGTTATGTATGGTACACAGCAGCTGCTAGCTAGTCTGGTAGGAGGTCTCTGTAGTCCAACTCAAGTTTTAGTCGTCAGGAGGCTGAGTTTCTCTATGTCCCGGTAGCTACTCCTAAATAATAACCACTCAGAGATTTATTAATTATACATGCTCAGCTGATAGCTCAGGCTGGTTACTAGCTAACTCTTACATTTTAAATTAACCCATATTTTATTCTTTTTCTTCCTTTTTAAGATAGGATTTCTCTGTGTAGCAGCCCTAGCTGTCCTGGAACTACCTCTTGTGGACCAGGCTGGCCTCGAACTCACAGAGATCTGCCTGCTTCTGCCTCCTGAGTGCTGGGATTAAAGGCGTGCGCCACCACTGCCCGGCCCTTATTTAGTATCTACCCTCTCCCAACTGGCGGCACAACACATTTATCTTGCTTTTCTCTGCAGCTGCTGAGACTTGTGAGACTCCACCCTCTTTCTTCCCAGCATCCTCTCAGTTTTACTCCCCTGCCTAACCTCTACCTGTCTGGCGATTGGTCAGTCAGCTTTTTTATTAACCAATGAGAGTACTATCTATTTCCAGTGTACAGAGTTTGTTCCATAGCAGTCCAGTTTTTGCACACACTGCCAACATTCCCACACAGACAGGAGGAAGGGCATTTCTGAGTCTGACGTCTGGGAAGGCTTTCCATCCCCCATGGTCTGAAGCATTAAGTCCTTGATATGACTTGTGCGCATGTCAACAACACGCAGTCACTCAGGGCTTCTACAGCATTCCACAACAGTCCGGAAAGGGAAAAAAAAAAACAGTTTAAAATTTTACTTTGGGGGGGGGGAGGCTGGGGGGTGCCATAATTCACTTGGGAGATCAGAGGACAACTTTCAGGGGTGAGTTCTCTCCTTCCACTGTGGGATTCATAGACGGAACCCAGGTTATCAGGCTTGGGTGTCAACTGGTTTTACATACCTAGCCACCTCACCAGCTTCCTAAGGAGAAAAAATTCACACACAGTAGCATTGGAAAGAGCAAAACATTTAAGAATAAAGTTAGGATATTTATCTTGGAGAGATGGTTCAACAGTTGAAAGTGCCTGTTGTTCTTACTGAGAGCCAGGGTTAGCTCAGTTCCCAGCACCCACACGGCAGCTCACAACCATATAGAACTCCAGTTCCAAGGGATCCAGTGCCCTCTTCTGACTTCCTTGGGTACCAGACATGTATGTAATGCACATACACACACGAAGGCAAAACACTCATACAAATCAAATAAATAAAAACTAGCCAAAGAAGTGGGAAAAAAAAATCATACATTGAAAACTACAGCCAGGCAGTGGTGGCACACGCTTTTAATCCCAGCACTTGGGAGGCAGAGAACAGGTGGATCTCTGTGAGTTTGAGACCAGCCTGGTCTACAAAGCAAGCAAGTTCCAGGACAGCTAGGACTGTTAGAGAAACCCTCTCTTGAAAAACAAAACAAAACAAAAAAAGCCAAAAATCCACCCCAAAACTACAAAAGAGTGCTAGTTAAAGAGAAATAAATGGAAATGTACCCCACGTTCATAGGCAGGAAGGATTGCAATATTACCTAGATTAATCCACAAAGTAAGTATAAACTCTTTCAAACTC